TAAGGTGGCAAAGGAATTAGTTGAGTGAATCCCATTTGTCTAGCCAGTTGAGCTGGATTGTAGAACTCAATGCCGCAGAAGCTATTTTTCAGAGTGGGCCGGGCAGTGCTATAATGGAGGTCACAGGCAAGAAGAAAGCTAGCCCAAATATTTTTCCACTCCTCAGAATGTTTTTTGGTAGACACTCCAGGAGATGGAACCAACCATGATGGCATGCAACCAATGGCGGTAAATGGATCAAAGAACCCATCGTCACCAGTCTCACATTGATTGTAGAAATATTCGAAGTTTTCAGCAAAGCTGAAAGGAGAAGTATCTGTTGTTGCCAAAGAATGGCACAGAAGGGATTTTCCAGTTTGAGTGGCTAGGGGTGAAGTTCTATTTTGGAAATACACCTTAAGCCACATCTAGAATAACTAGAAGTGGCCTTGGAACCTTGAAAACTTTGAAGCAAATAGGTCATTTAGACCTCTGTACAAATGAGAGTGCACAAGGGGAGCCAGTGCCAAATCTCCATTTCTGGCTAAGGAAATTGCCACTTAAATGAAGTCCTTTGTGACTTGACTAGATGGAACACACAATAAATGGCCAGAAAGCCAACAGATCAGGAAAGCAATGTGTACATCTTCTTGAACTGGGCCGGTTTTCTTACAGTGTTTGATGAAAGGAAGGTGGGAGGAGATAAATTTCTTACTTCTAGTGGTTTGGTAGGAAAAAGGAATTGCTCAATGAAGAGGGTGGCACTTACATCATCTCCATGGGATTTAAGACCTGTAATGCAACAAATATCTCTCAAAGTGGGGGACATCATTCCACATTTAAGGTGGAGGGAATTGGTGGTTGAAGACAAAAAGAAGAGAGCTGGAAAGAGGAGGTTTGGATCAAGCGTAATGGAGGACTTTCTAATTTGAATGATATCAAAGATGCCCTGTTTTTTCCATTGTGAAGAAATCTTTTCATCTTTGGAAAGACGACTCACCCAAGAAGACCAAGATGAACAGTATGTTGGCCAATTTTTTATGCTGAAAGAGGGTTTCACTTTCTTTCCTTTCCTTGAGATAAAGGGAAATTTTGAATCAAAGGGGAGAAGAGACTTACCAGAAAGGTAGAATTCGGCCAATTCAGAAAGAGCTACTTCAGTAAAAGCTGGACCCAGTCCAACTGAAGAATCTTTAAAGTGAACCAGAGGCTCAAGATGAAGCCTAGCAGTGTTTAAGGACTTCAAGAGTATTTGAACTTGGTGGCTATGGCTTTGAGTCTTGACTTTAGTTTGAACGGAAGGGGCTGGCAGAGATGAGCTAATGGTTTGTTTAAAGGGTTTCTTAGGAGCCGTCGTTCGTGATTTTCGCGGATTGAGATTTCCTTTCCTTTAGGGTTTTTTTTGGTTGGAGAGGAAGAAAGAAGAAGAGAGAGGAAAAGGTTTTGTGGGAAAATGATAAGGATGAAAGGTGTATATATATAGGAGCAATGAGAGAGGCGTTAAAGTTTAGATACGCCTTTTGAGGGTTGTTAGTTGAAGAATTTCAAAATTCAAAAGGGGAAATAACGAGGATTGGGAAGTCTGACAGTTCAAAGCCATAAATGGATAGGACTCCTATTGGAATACGGAATCAATGGTAGAAGAGTTTGTTACAGAGGAAGCCGAAGGAGCAGCCACGTTTTATATAGAAACTTTCCCTTAATGATTATCTTGAGTTTTCAAGAATCCAAGGATGTATTTAGAGGAGCCTAGTTGGAATTTTGAAATTCAAAAATAGGAAGTAATGGGATTTTTTGGTTAGGAGCCATAAATAGATAAGATCTTTTGAGGATGCACGGCATTTTTAAAGATTTGGCGGCAGAAGAAGATTAATATGGTAGGAACCGAGGAGTTAGCTGTATTAAGTATTGGAAGTTAAATGACCATGATGATTATATTGAAAAATTAATGGGTCATGATGGCGAATATTCAAATCCCATGCCTTGTCATCAAATTGTTCCACACGGCATGGAATTTGGGGGGCATATGTTTACTCCATTATTTTTGCCCAACAGATGAGAAATGGCGAGTTTTAACAAGCTTGCCACATTGGATTAATACTTTAATTATCCAAAAGAGGAAGGTGTGACATGGAATTATTGATATGGTCTACCAATAGAGAAGAGGTACATGGCGAGTTCCAATGGAACTTGTCACGCCGGATCAGAACTCTGACAAAATTTCCTTTGGAATATTAAAACTAGGTGGTTTCATTGGAAGCAAAGCATGATTGATCAAGATAAATTCCACCACATGGAATTATTAATTAAAAGAAAGTGGCGAGTCCTGTTAGTACTTACCAACTTTGAATATAATGTCCTAAAAATACATAAAGGTGGCATAGAGTCACTATCATGAGTGCAACCTCATATAAATATTCAAGTCAAGGCCAACCAACCAATGGTTTATTAACACGTGGCGAGTTCTACTGAACTTGCCACGGTAGATCAATTCTTTTAAGAAGTTGATTTTATTAAAGATTCATGGAAAATCCTATTCTTATAGGATACCAATTAAATTTTCCATTTAATTACGAAATCAAGGTTAACTAAGCAAGACGTGGGGCTGGATTTTCTCCTAAAATCTAGGAGGTTTTCAATAACTACTTTTGACTAAATCAAGCAATGAGGAAGTGGGGTGATTGTTTCCAGAAATATAAGATATATTTCTATATATATATATATCTATACATATATATATATATATTTATTTATTTATTTATACAGCCCACGATGGATAAAGGAGTTATTGAAATTCTGAAGGAAGCCACGACGCCATAAACTCTGCACTTGGAAGGAAAGTCTCAAGAAGGGAAGTTACAAGAATTGAGGACGCCAATCCACTATGAGAAGGACGCTGAAATTTAGGAGTTCATGGCGTCATGGAGTCTAAGAATCAAGAAGGGAAGTTTGGTTAAGGGAAGTTACCAAAGTCAAGGAAGTGTGGGTCGCAAAGGAAAGGAACATGGGCAATGACTTATATCGTGGATGTATATATATATTCATACATATATATATGTTATATCAGATACACATCCATGATGAGAAGAAGCCATTACAATTTTGGAGGACACGATGCCATGAAAGGAAGAAAATCTAACTAGAAGAGGTTACCTAAAGCCAAGGGAACGTGGATGTATGTATAATTTCTATATACATGTATGATATATATAGAAATTATACAGAAGAAAGGACTCTGCAGAAAGAAAGACCACAAAGGAACATGGGATACTTGACTCATTACGAATGCATCAGTTGAAAGTGGTGGTGTTTCATGCAACTACTACCACTAACTGAGAACGGTTGTCGTAGATTATGGATGATGGGGTTAAGATGATTAAATTGTGTCTAAATTGGAGAAGGAATTCGCGGGAGACGGAAGAGGAACATAAAGACGTGGGATGTGTGTCAATTTGTGAAGAAGACAAGTGGAAAAATTCATTCCAGAAACCACCCATGATACAAGTTCATGGAAGACTGTGGAGAACATGGCCTGAGATTGTGCATCAGAGGAAATAAAGAGCAAGAAGAAGATAGAAGAGAACAAGTTACAACTGCCAAGAGAGCATGGGGCACTTGGCAGTCCGAAATTTGGCCACGTGGCAGTCACTGGAGTTGCCACATCAAGCTGCTGCATGCATGAAAAGCTTTATAAATAGAGCATTTAAGGCTAGTTTGCAAACCCAACCTGCTCAGCCTAAACAACACATCAACACAAGCATCTTTGCTTTCATGTATCTCTCATTTCAACAATGAGTTTGCACTATGTCTAAACCTAGCATTTTGCCAGTACATCTATTTCCATTCCAGCAATGAATGTACGTCATTTTAAGTTGAGTCCAGCACTTTGCTATCTTGTATAGCATTCATTCCATGCGATGAATTCTCATAACGCTTGAGTTAAGTCCAGCACTACTTTTGCTATTTCCAGCCGAGCACTGCATTTCCATGTCTCTAAATTTCCAGTTGTGCACTTTAAATTACTTTAATTTCCAGCCTTGCACCTTCAATACAGTCTTCATTTCCATTAGCCATAGAATAGTTTGAAATTCTTGTTCAAAGGCAAAAAAGACCCTTTGAAGGTGGTCATTCCAGACCTTCGTACAATCGTCTGATCCCTACAAATTTCCAACTGGATTACTGTTTGGATTTCTACTTTGGAACTATTGTAGTTCCTTGCACGCCCGCACACCCACACTATTCTATTCAACCATCCACCATTCCACGCAACCCGGAGAGCGGAACCGGCGCTTTCCCGCGAGCCGAACAAAATAAAGGAATGCACACTATATTCGCCATCATGACCCATTAATTTAAGCTAAATAGCAAGTTGAGAGCCTTGTATGCATAGATCATAAATAGCAAGTTGGAAGTTTTTATTTGAAATCAACGCCATTAAGGATTCTAGCACAATGATAGTACAATATAGCTCCCATACCTCTATTGAACATCTACTTTTGCCTCCAATTTAATTCTAGTAGTAAATCATTTACTCAAACTTCTAATCCCTTCGTTTCTAATGCATTCATTTATCAAATGTACCTTTAAGGTACTTTTGGATGAGTGGATTCAAAATGAAGGGGTTTCGGATTCAAATACAAAGTTGGTTGGTGGAATTGGATTTGAGACCATGTTAGGGTAGAGTTAGGGAAGACATTTTACTAGGATCCTTGTGCAAGCAGAAACTTTATTGGCATGAATCTCAAAGGATTCCTTTCACTTTATTATTTCCAATCGTTAATTCTGGGTTTCCCAAATAATTTATGCATCTTATTGAAACATAAATCTGAACTATTGAATGTACATTTAAGCAATAATCAAAGAATTCAATTTAAATCCATTCATTTTAGATCCCTCAATTCAAAAGGAACTTCAAATCTATGTTCCACTTGTACAAAGACATGCATATCTAGGGTCATCAGTTTATTGCTATCTGCACCTAACTTCTTTGTTTTTTTTTTTTTTTTTACCTCATTGGACAGAAATGGACAAAAATGTCAATCTTGAACACAGCTGGTTCATACAAGTTCAGCAGTGATCGAACAATTCATCAGTATTCGAGAGACATATGGATGATTGAACCTGTTGTATTATCATAGGACATACTAAGGGAAACCCAAGTTTTACCCAGGTACCCCTTTTGTATCATGCTCCATTTTTAGTCTTCTAGTACAATAGATGATAAAAGCTAGATGTGTATGGGGGTGTACCTAAAGATAGGAGATGAATTAGAGATCTCTGAAATAATGTCACTTTTTTATAAATTTTTTCAATAAATATCTGTTAGATATTTTACACATAATCTTGATGTTTTGATATTTGATATGAAATTACCTGTTCCTTGATAATTGTTGCCATAAAGTCTGAAATGCATCTCTCACAACCATAAAATGCATTGGAGCTTGAAGTAGGAGACAACTGCTTCATCTTAATATACATTAGTTCTTTCTCGAATTAGCTATTTGCCTTGGCTTGGGTGGCATCTCCTCCACCTTCCGAAAGGGGAGGTTGAGGGTTCAAGCCCCTCCAGAGCAAAAAAGTGTGACTTGTTTACCCAACACACACACAAAATCTTTGCTATTTCTTGACTACGTAGGAAAGCAATTAATTTATACGTGTTCTTGATACATTTGTGTTATTTCACATGGACGTTTCAGCACACTATGTTTGGTCAACTGTATGCAAGTGTGATGTGAACTTTTATGAAGCTAAGCAATACTGTCATATAATTAAATAAAACCTTAAGTGACAAATTATGATTGATTTTTGAGTCTCTAAACCTCTGCCCATAAGCCTCCGGTTTCACGTGGGATACAGATTTAAACACCAGTCGTGACACTGATTTATCCCTCCTTTTGGTTATGCCAGAAGAATGAAAAGAAAGACTAAATTTAATCAATGTAAAGTGTTGATGGGCTTTGTTACTGATTCTAATTGTGGAGGTCACTGTTCCAAGTATACTCACTGATGGGGGAGTTGTTCTTCCCCAGAGTTAAGCCAGCAACCGATCACCTAAGAGATGAAACCGGTTGAGGTCTCACCAATTTCACTGTCGAGGAAGTACTAATATTTTCCGAATCTTGCCATTTCAGTATAAGTGATAATGGTACAATCTCATTTGGTGATAAAATTATGTTGATACTCAGGATTGATAGAGTGAAACCACCTAATTGTACCTTAGTACTTCTTTGTTAATAGTATCCAGTGTTCTTAGTCTCTTCTGTTGTGTTGTGTTGTGTTTGATAGATAACTAACCGTTTCTGAACTTGTTTGATTAACAGTTTCTGAATACTATTTTCTAAAAACTCACTTAAAATAGGTTGTTTTTCTCTCTATATATATATATTTTCTCCCGAGAACTGTTTTTCAAAAACTGAACCAAATAGCACTTCTTGAAACCAGTCCAACTAATTCTGAGCACCATTTCTAGATTTTGCATGGTCCTCTTCCATCGAACCAAATATGTTAGATGAACAATTGAATTTTCCTTTGGTTTGATAGTGGTCTGGAGTCTGGACAATGGACATTGTCAAAATTACTTATCAAGAAGTTTTAACAGTAAAAAAGTTACTAGTATTCATTAAAAAAGCCCATTCTTAGTGAAGGCTTTTTTATTATTTTTATTTCTGGGTGGTGTTTGTGTTTTTGACTCTTGAGGGGTGGGACTTGCTAGTAAAGTTGCCTACGAACCCTAGTGAGATGCTTTTCAACTTGGAACAAAGATCATTCAATATAGGGTTTTCACTTCATGAATAGCATTCAAACCTAAAGTGGAAGCGAAACAGGTTTGAAAGTTCAAAGAAAAAAGAGCTATGCTACTTAGCCTATCATTGCAGTGGAGTCGAAGTCGAGTTGAGATGCTAACGGTAATCCATCTTAATCCGAGGATTACAACAGAGGGGGACCAACTCATACGTCCCTCCCTATTGTTATAATCCCGATGTTAGAATCACTTCGAAATGCTCGCTAATAGATTATTTTTCAAGAAAAATAAAAATGTGAAGTAAATTTAAAATAAAATTACGCTATTCAGTCTTAGTTTTTCATCGTTTCGGTCCAACTCACTGCAAGACTTGGGCCTAAAAATAATTACCCTTTAAAATTGCTCTACATTCTGAAATGTCAAATATTTTTATTTATTTTGTTGAGCCCTTTTTAAGGGTTTTCCATGTGTGTATATAGGATATATGTATATATAGTAAAATGGTTTGGAATAGTATATAATCTCTTTCCAAAAGTAGTTTGAAAGCTTATCTTTTCAAATGTCACATGACACGAATAACAACACTACCTAAGACCTGTCTTGAGCCCCCAAAGTCCCCACTCCAGTGAGACATGCACCACTTTTTTTTCACAGATAAGAGCAAAGAGTAGGATTGCCACTTTTAAAGGAAAGGCATAATAATAATACTCAATAAATAAATAAATTATATCTGATCTAAAATCTTCCACATCTTTGCTTCCATTCTCACTCATTGGGTTAGGCATCACTCAAAAGTTCTTTCCACACTCTGCTTTTGGCTCATTTCAGTTCCCATCAACCACACAGAAAAGTCAGTTCACACACACACACACACACACACACACACAGTCACACACAGGTAGCAGTGGGTTGGGCCATGTTTGGGTCAGTTGCAAAAACCCATTAATTGAGAAATGGCCAGCTTGACAACAAGTTGCCATACCGAACATGAGAATTATTGGATAAAGTTGTGTTAATTTTCAGGAACTTAGATCCTCAGTTGTTACAGCATGTGAACGGGGAGATTATTTACACGTATAGTCTTAACCGTTCATTGCAATACAACACCGTGTTGTAATATAGAGGATTCAGACTTAATTTTCACATAATATTTAACCACTTGATGTATGGTTGAATCTTAATAATAATATTGAAATGCTACCATGTAAACTAATTAATAAAGACATTATACTTTTCTTATGTTTGGGAGCACCCGATATTAAAGAAAGTTTAGTTTAATTTTGTACTATATTTTTTATAATTTCAAATTCAAGGTGCCGATTCAGCGCTGCCAAACAAAATATTTATGTAATTTATAAGTGAAACTTGAATAGATCCAAATATAGGTTTTGTGTGTGTGTGTGTGTTTTTTTTTCCCCAATGTATGGGTTAGATTATTATTATTATTATTATTATCATTATTTTTCCCAAAAGTGATCTGAGTCAGATTTTGTAATATCTACCTTGTCCAAAGGTAAAAGGGGAGGAAACCCTTTTGAACAAGTGGAACAAGGAAATGCCAATGGGAACCTATCCCTTGAGAAAAAGCCACACAACTTTTGACAGGTGATCCATCTTTAATAATATATATATATACATGTTTGTGTACATATATATACACAAACATATAGTATATATAAAGTGATCCCTGTCACCAAAGCTGAACTTCAGGAAAAGAGAGAGCACAATTGCACAAGTTATGGCAAAGAATTAGGTTCATGCATGGGATGTTCATTCTCATGTCCCATGAGTGTGAGCTGTTAGAGATCCTATCATTAATATTCTTTACTATTTATTTTTGAGTCCTATACATCTTTCACTGTTCAGCTAATTAATTGTGAATGTGTCATTTTCAAACAAGGAAGTTATAAGTAATGCAACTATGAATCTCATGGAGAGTTCGATCCTGGCTTAGGATGAACGCTGGCGGCATGCTTAACACATGCACGTTGGACGGGAAGTGGTGTTTTCAATGGTGGACGGGTGAATAACGCGTAAGAACCTGCCCTTGGGAGGGAAACAATAGCTGGAAACGGCTGCTAATACCCCGTAAACTGAGGAGTAAAAGAAGGAATCCGCCAGAAGAGGGACTCGCGTTTGATTAGCTAGTTGGTGAGACAATAGCACAACTCTGCTTGTGAGCTTTTAGAGATCCTATAATTAATATTCTTTACTATTTATTTTTGAGTACTATATCATCTTTCACTGTCCAGCTAATTAATTGTGAATGTGTCATTTTCAGTGCAAACATAAGATGGTTGTTCAAGAATCATGACCTTAACCCCACTAGCCATAATTAATGATGGATATTACTAATAAGAGAAAATCCATATATGGTGCTTCTCCTGATTTTGAATGGTATCATCAAGGTTCAATGCACGTTTTATGCTCATGGCCCACTCATGGGTCATGGGAGGACTATTCAATTTTTTTATTTTTTTATTTTTTATTTTTTAAAATATTATTGGGTGTCGGCCGGAGGTTCTTCACCGTTGAATTTTCATCTCCGTACTGCTCTCGTCGTAGTTGTTGTCATCATCATTATCAAAGTCATCATTATAGCTATTATTGTGTAATTTGTTATTAACTTTTTAGAATGAGTAATAATTCACATGTTGATGGGAATAACAGAACTCAAGGGTTGAGAAATGCTCGGTCCTTGGTTTCGACTGCGCCCATTGAGTAGCTAGCATCTCTCAACTTGATATTCTCCATGGGTATGCACACATGCTTATAGCTTGTTTACTCTCTATCTCTCTCAACTTGTTTATTGATTATCTAATCTATTTATTTTTTGTTGATATATAGGGCTTCTGTTTTATGGATTAACCACATTTTTTTAAAAAATTTATATATATATATATATATATATATATATATATATATATATATATATATAGTTTATCATATAAAATCTAAGAATTCAGTTAAAATCGTTCAACCAATTCTTAAGAATTTGGACAAGATTCAGTTGAGCTGGACGAGACTCAGCCAGTTCACCAAAGATTCGGCCTAAATTTAATTATAACACACATATCAGTGAGCAACAAACTTAGACTCGGCCGATTTATTACGGCTCAGCCAAGTCATTGAAAATCAACCGATAAGAAAAAATAGGACTTGTGCACGTATGCTTTCATAATAATATATATATATTTTTAATTGTCTTCTTATCAAATTTTTCTACGAGTTTGAATACTGTTTTTACCAAGTAATATTGAAAATTTTAGATTTGCGTATTCCTTTTTCCATCCAAACAAATAAAATAGAAGTGATTCGCATTCGATTGCATGCATGTCGAGTTTGCATTTCGTTAAGAGTTCAAGTGTCGTCGAGTTTACATTCTGTTAAGAGTTGTAGTGTTACTAGCAAGTGTGAGTGAGCATGTTATTTATTTAAAAATTAAATAAAAACAAATTAAATGATGTAATGTGGTTTAAGTCATTTATTAGTTGGTTTTGGTCTTTCCAATGGGCAGTTGGTTGTGCAAGGTTCAGTCCCATCATAACCACCCTCCTTGATAAATTTCTTTCCACAGTTTTGAATAATCTAGTTCTACA